TGTCCCCAAACACAATGTTTCTAGTTTAGCCTCTAGATCAGGGGTTCATAAGAACCTTTAATGCTCATTATACACAGTAATATATGGAAGGGACTGTCAATAGTTTGGAAGAGAACCGCAATAGAGAGAATATCATAAAAGTGTGGAAGGATTATACCACTGAAGATGTCACCATTGTTACAGAAAAATCATGAAAGCCACCAAGCCCAAAAAAATAAATTCTTGCTGGGAAAACTGTGTTCAGATGTTGTACACAATACGATTTATGACAGACTCAATCAAGGAAATCATTACAGAGGTTGCAGATGTGGCAAAAAAGGTGGGGCGTGAAGGTTCTCAAGATATGGATCTTGAAGAAATTCATGAACTAATACACACCACACCAGAAGAATTAACAGAGGATGACATGATGGAAATGAATGCTTCTGAGCCAGTGCTAGACGATAAGGAAGAAGACAGCAGAAGCAATGCCAGAAACAAATCAACACTAGACAATCTGGCAGAAGGTTCTGATTGATTATTCAAGACTGTTTTTGAGTTTGATGACATGGACCCTTCTATGATATGAGAACTGAAAATAAAGCAAATGGAGGAAGAAGGATTGGTACTGGGTTAGAAACATTTTGAGAGGAATGAAAAAGAAAAAAAGTCAGAGAGAAATCACAATGTATTTTGGTAAAGTTACACTGAGTGGGCCTGCTTCTCCCACAACCTTTCCCACCTCCTTCACCTCTTCTGCCTCTGCTGCCTTTGGGACAAGACCAACTCCTCCTTTTCTTTCTCCTCCTGAGTCTCCTCAGTGTGAAGACAAGGATGAATACCTATATGATTTATGTCTACTTCATGAAGCAAATAATCATCATGCCATACAGTTAAAACAAAAACTATTTTATGTGTGTGTCTTCATGTGAGAAATTTAGTAACCACACAGCACGAACTGTATGAGATATTTTTGTAACAACTTCATCATCAGCAACATCGCCTATGTATTCATCCTGTAGATGAATACAAGTGCAAGTCTTGTATGGGAGCAAATAGCCTAACCTTACACAGGTGTAAAGTGAGTGATATGTAATACAAAATTAATAAGGTGTTAGTTGTATAACTTTGCTTTCAAAGAATTACATTATCATACAGTATGCCTCTCTCTCTTTCGTTATTGGTAAAAACTGTTGATAAGCAGTTCCTATTATCACAGGTGTTTTTTTTTAATGTAACAATTTTTCCAATACTGTATTATGAATATAGCTGTAATACGGTATGCCATAAAAAACTTATAACAATTAATTCATTTAATGTATGGTCTGGGCCACCATAAGGCAATCATATTAATTATAGTAGACTATCATAATGCAATCATATTGCTGCTTCTTTGTATCAGTGCATGAACTGTATTCCTGTAAATAAATATGAATTTCTTTTTCACAGCTCTTCATTTTTGATATCTAGTGTTAGTAACACATATAACATCTACAGTGTTTTGTATCCTAAGACAATATTGATGTAGGTACTGACAATTCATCTTTCAGAGGATGTAAACTTATGATACTGATACAGTACAGTACTGTAAATGTATTTTCTCTTATAATTTTATCAATAATATTTTCTTTTCTCCAGCTTACTTTGTTGTAAGAATATAGTACATAATACATTTAATATACAAAATATGTGTTGATTAAGAATTTATTTTATTGGTAAGGCTTATAGTCAACAGCAGGCTATTACAGTAGTTACATTTTTGAGGAGTCAAGTTATACACAGATTTTCACCCACACAGCTAATTAGTGCCCCTCACTCTCATGTTGTTCAAGAGTCAACTGTAATGATATAGAAGACTATATATGGTATACATTAAGTTAAAAATAGCTTATGAAAACTTATGTATAGCAGAGCCATTATTTTGTTTTAAAATGTTCATAAAAATTATGCATCTATAAATTATGTATTTATAAGTATACATAAACATTAACTACATGCATGGGTAAATTATAGGAGAAATATACACCAAAAAGTTAACTGTATTTATCAGTTGTTACTGAGATTACAACAATTTTGTTTCTTTGTGCTTTTCTACGTTTTCAATTTTTTTCTGCAATTAACCTGCTTTCATTTTCAGAAGAAACAAGCTATAAAAATAATACAAATAAGCATGTTAAAAGTGATTTGTTGATTAGTCTATAATTCCCAATAGACTGAGTTCATTCCACAGGGAATCTTTTGGTGGCATTGAGGGAGTTTCCACATTCTCTTCACAAACAGGTTTGAAGATGGGAAGAAATAAATAGCTTTCCTTCCAAACTGCATTGTTCACAGAAAAATAACATGAGACAAACAGTTGTGTTTGACATTTTTGTTCTTGTATCTTAAGAGTTCTTCATGAAAATTTATATCTTATGACATCTCTGCATCTTCTTATAAGGAGTGGGTGAGAATACAGTGCTTTATTTTATTGTCATTATTCTTTCCATGAAAAGTGATAGAACATATCATTTTAGTAACAAGCGTTTCTCATGAGCTGTCAAAATATCTTCAAATTTTTTTGAGATGATTTATCTATCAAATGGAACAGAAAAGAATCCTAACTGAATAGCTAAATAAAAATGTTTTTCAACTCCTTCAACCCCTTGTGGATACAAGGCTATATATCTATAGAATGAAGATTTGAACCCATGCTATAATATAGTCTGTGTGCTTTACCACTATGCTATGCCACCTACTAAGTAGCTAAGATGAATTATAGTCTCATAGGCTGTGGGCAGAAATGCACCTCAGAAATTCCAATGCTGTACAAAAGAGAATCTTAAAATGAAGGTCATACAGTGGCTTAGGCTTATCACTTAGTAATTTAGAAGTAGAATTCAGACTCAAGCTTTTAAAATTTTGTTACATTTCTGTTAACATTTATTTTGCCAGGATAATGAATTATAGAATCAATCTGTTTAATAATTTGTGTCTTTGAAAGTAAAATTCATTCTGACCTTTATTTTATTATGGGAACTTCACAGAATCAGTTAGAAATTATAGTTAAGGGGCTTTTCAAGTCTTTTAAAGACCTTTAAAGGGAGGTTATGCCTTCCCTTTCAGTGTAGTTCTTGTTGAGATATTAGTTTTCTAGAAATATGCAGAAAAGAGTTCACCACATCTGCTGAGAACCACACCTCACTGTTGTGTTCTTGGAGGAGTATAAAATAAGGATAATCTTGTACTTGCAGTGGTTTGACAGCAGTGTGCTTGCTCGACGATTACTGTCAACGTGACCAGCCTCTCTGTTGGTGTTTCTCCATGTCTAAAATAAATCCCAAATTTTCTCTTTTCCTATTTCCAGTGAAAATGAAGAACTGCTTTCCTCAAAACAGCCTCTCTTTTAAAGTGGAAAAACTCCAGGTGTCTTTTTATAGAAAACACCCGAATTCTTCTATATATTTTTACGGTTCAAAGATTATTTTCATTAGAGCTGAATTTTTCGCAAATATTGTTATTCTTCCTTTTGAATTACAGAGTGAAAGCTTTGAGATGTTTCAGCCGGGCACACACTTAGGGAGGGAATCTTCAGCTATGTCTATACAGAATTGATGTCTATGTTACAGAAGTATACATATGTGTTGGAATGACAACCACTTGGGCGGTCTTGTCATAAAACCCTGGGGGCTGCAAATCCAAGATTGGTAAATATTGTCTTGAATGGTTATATACTTCATTAGCTGTTTATTAAAGGGTTGACCTTTTAGATGCTAAGAGAGGGTGTTGAATACATAAAACATATTTTATGTTCAGACTTGTGCATAATTTATCATTCATGAAATGCACTGTGATGGTGAGGACTGAAGCTTTTTCTTTGGGGTCTCCACAGGATCCAGCCTTCTCACTTTCTTTCCAGGCTTATGGAACTCGTGGATACATTTTATTTTGGGGCTCTTATCTGCCTTGACTGCTGTCTTTATGTTAGTCATTACTTATTACTGTGGTTCATCTTTTCTCATTTGATTTGCCTTTTAAACAAAATTTATAATTTTTACTATTTAAATTGAATCCACCTTTTCAAAAACACTGGTTATTTTTCCTACTTTGGGGCCATTTGTAATGTTTCATTCCACCCTGACTTTGATAGTCCCGTTTGTAATCCCCAAAAGTACAGGAAAAGAAAAATCCTTCCAATCATTTTATAATTATGAGCCTCTGAAATATTAAAAACATTCTTGGTTAACCACATAATTGTCTACATTGGCATGTTGAATGGGAGCTCTTGGATCTATTCCAAATGTGCAAATAAGCTGGCTAGTGTTTTTGTTTCTTCTCTAGTCTTGAAAGAGTGATTATTTTAGCATCTTGAGTGCAGCACCAGAATTAGAAGATCTATGTGTGACTGAGCTAAGAATGATAGTGCTGTAATGTAGAAGGCACTAAATACATATTTATTGACTGAACACATATGTTCACATTGGACAATTTATTGGGAAAATTAAAGATTCCATTAGAAATTTGGAGTGGCTTGGAAGAATGTATAATCAAAAGGATCTGTTAGGAATTTGAGGAGATTTTGATGAATATACAATCAAATAACATAATAGTAATGGACATAGAACAGCTGAAATGGGATTGTAACTTACTGTCTTATTAGTCTATACAGTAATCTCTTGGAAAGAATGATATATATCACCAATACCAAAGAGAGTTCAGTTTTCATTCAATAAAAAAGACATGAAGGAGTTCCTGAGAAAAGGTGAAACTACATCTGAACCTGAACGAGTGTCTCTATCATCCTTCATGTAATACTATATATATTTTAAAAGCCTTTTTATCAAGCCTTTACTCTTGAAATTATCTATATTTATTATCATTAGTGTGTTTTAAACAAGAGAAGCTCTAAGCTTTACTATTTGTTGAGTAAGGGCCATCTGAAATAGAGGAATATGACTTTGTCATATAATACCAGTTTTCACGATCTTTGTTCATTTTTTCCTTTATCTATTCTGTTATTGCAGGAAACAGCCTGAGTGGATATGATGGAGGCAAACAAGACGCAGGTGATGGAGTTTGTTCTCACAGGACTGACAGATCGTCCAGGGATGCAGGTTCCCCTGTTCCTGGCGTTCTTGGTCATCTATCTCACCACCATGGTGGGCAACCTCGGACTGATTTTCCTCATCTGGAAGGACCCTCATCTTCACACTCCCATGTACTTATTCCTTGGCAGTTTGGCCTTTGCAGATGCTTGTTCCTCATCCTCTGTGACTCCCAGGATGTTTGTCAGCATCTTAGACAAAAGTCAAGTGATATCCCTCTTTGAGTGCATGGCCCAGTATTATTTTTTTGGTTCCAGTGCCACCACAGAGTGTTTCCTCTTGGTAGTGATGGCCTATGACCGCTACGCAGCCATATGCAACCCCTTGCTTTATCCAGTGGTGATGTC